ATTCTCGATTAAGTCTATTCACCTGTTGAGCTGTACACAAAGCCAAGCAGGACAGCAATCAAAACTAGGGTTGCTCGATTAGCTTCACTTTCAGTGACTGTGGGATATGGTCGAACTAATGCAAACGGAGGATTTGGACATGGACGAGTAGATTTTCAATACCCTAGCATTGTCTCCTTTCTTCTTTGATGGACACTGCCTCGCCATTAAATATAGCGGTGGTAGGCGGCTCGGCCATCGATGGGCTTACCACGGCAACTGATCTACTGTAATCTAGCGTGGTTCGCCAATCCAAGTCTCAGGATCATGGTTGCCGGTTTTCTTCTCATAACATAAACATGACAACAGGAAATTATACGCTGTAGCTCAGTCTATGCACTTCACCTTCACCAATTGTGATTCTGTACACTAATTTATCCATTCTTCTTTCCCTCTCATCCTGTTTTTGATCGTCATACACCACCTGTCCTCAAGAACACTAGGATTCCCAGTCCCCCTTTCTCTTCAAAGCTAGTCTCTGCGCCTTGACCCCACCAAACAGTCTCCGCCCACAAAATCCCAAAGCATGATTTATTCAATCGTGAATTTCAATTGATATGGCTGAAGCCCCGATTTCCTTCTTTTAACCACTACTTTTGTTCTTTATATCATTCCCCCCAATCGTGGCGACTCCTCGGTCTTTGACATTTTATTGTCGAACATGAACATTTGTTTACAACCGACCCTAACTGTGATCTTACCACCTCAGTAGATTTTAACTTTCATAATAAGGATTGGTTGACATATTTATGCACTACTTCACCTTCGGGGGGCCTTCCGAATTGGGGCCCAAGAGATGAGGATTGTCATTGGTTAAAGACGCCTTAAAACCGCCTACCGAGGTGGAACGCTGAGGTCATGCAGACTTTGGTGTCAACATTTCCTATCCCTATATGAACAGCCATCTCAGAGTTACATAATTGAGCCTGGCCTGCAACTCCAATACCGTTAATTCCGGTAGGTTGACTACGATCCGATACTGCGCGGTGATGGTGGGTTGCGGGTACAGGGGTGCTTATCACTCACCATCATCACCGACTTGGTCGATGTTCGCTTGCCGTTGAATATATTGTAGCTCATCGCATCTGGTCTTGATGCTTCTAAAGATTCTCTTGCGCCCCCTGGACCACCGCTGAAAGTGGAGCTGTGTTGATGCTCTTGGTTTGGCCACAACGAACTGCAACAGCTTTCATTGGAGCCGTTTGCCTATACTTTCTCCTCCGGACCTGTATTGAATGGTGTAGATGGTATAACTACTGTCGACAGGTAACTGTTAGGTTGATGGTGAATCACTGTCAACTCTACTTCCCTCAGGGATGTGTTGGCCTTCGGCGTAGGAGCGACAAGCATAGTTTAATTGAACACTGAGCAAACACAATTTGCACCAGTCCGGGAACTCATATTGCTGCTGGTTAATGTTAGCCGTTACAGCCCTTACATTCCAGTACGGTCTTCACAGGATAGATAATGGCCCTTGCCAATCGAGCGTCCAGATTATTGTTGTCGGCAGTTCTTAGCTCCCAATACTGCGTTATCTGAGTTTCTTTTATCAGCTTTTCTCAGTCGACCTGAAAAAGAGAAAACAGAAGGGATGTCTTCTCGCCTCATCTGCGAGACCACATTTTTCGTAAACATCCCGCTTTTAGTACATATCATGCCATTTGGCGCCCGTAGCAGACGGCGTCTGAAAAGCACGTTTCTATAGTTTCGCCTTGCAGTTTACCTGGCTCTCAATGACGGTAGACACTAATAACTAATCTTAGGGAATGTTTTCGGTCAAAACGCGTCTAGTGCCCCCTTGAAGTTGTGCACATTGGTACAGTTGACCACTCTCACGGGTAACCTGTGTGAGAAGAAGCTGGCTAAGACCTCCAACCTAGCGTGATTCTACTGGAGCTTAAAGCTATGACCCTTCGTATTTTGAGCATAAGAATCCATAAACAGGCCATCTGCGTGGAGTCCTGATAGCCCTATGACTATTTTGAAGGTTTCTATCAGATCTCGCACTCGTTTACATTCAAATGAAAAGAGGTTTAGGTCCCTCAATCGCCGTTCATAGCTTTTTGGCTTTTGCCCAGCCAGATACCATTCGGATGGCAAGTCGTTGCACCTGCTCCATGTATGCCACATCCTCCCTATAGTAAGGGGCCCATACATTTTTTTCATTATACACGAAATGATTTACAGCAAAAGGGGTACACCCCATAATCAGTGATATAATGTAAGGGGGAGGTGTATGGGGAACATTAAAGTAAGAACCAATTTGTTAATCCTGCTTTTGAAAAAGGTAAGGTTATAAGAGCTGGGAAACACGGAAATGGGAAGAAAGTTACACAATTTCGCAGTCCTCGGGAAAAAAGAAGATTAAAAGATGGAAGTCCGACACTCGAGAACAGAAACCTGATCATGGTGACTGGTCGCCTGAGAACGAGATGGACAAAAGAAGGTCGATGGAAGGGGAACCGTTGAAGCGAGTTCAGAAGAGCAGAAACCAAAATAGTAACGATAGAAAAGCGATAACGAAGCGACTGTCCGGCGATGGGAAAGTGACTGCAAGGTGGAACTTAGAGACGGCTCGTCGATCAGCCGGATGGCTTTACGCGGAACACGTTCGAGAGAAAGAGCGGAATACGAAGCCCCAACCCATACATGACTGTGGTATTCAAGCATCGAGCGGATTTGAGCTTTGTATAAAAGGTGCTTGGGTGTAAAGAAACGCCTTGCGCAGAATAGAAAACCAACTTTGCGCGCAGCGTGAGAGGCAAGTGTAGAGATAAAAGGGGACCAACAGAGAGAAGAATTTATGGATAAAACCAAGAGGAAGAAGGAATTTGTGGAACGAAGGGGCAGAGAATCAAAAATCAATTGGGGAGAAAAGGAGACATGTTTAAGAGAGACTAGGAGGAGAGAAGTTTTGAAAGCATTGAAACACACATGG